ATGGTTATCAGGTTGTTTTCCTGGAAAAACATCGTCTTGGTTTGCAGGCATCCTGCAAGGAATCAAAACCATTCACACAATACTTAAGAAGCTATCGAAGCAACGAGACAAATAAAATAAAGACGAGATAACAGAATGATTCTGAATAATTCTCAAATCACATTTCATATTTCCCCGGTACCATCGATACAGTGCCAGCCAGTATATATACACAGAAAATCATTAAAATAAAGACACGTGCACATGGTGAAATGTATTCTAGAAACCTACTTGCTATTTGAACAGACGACCTTGTTTGGATTTGGAACTGACGAAGATAAATTGAATTTGGGCTTGAATAGTATCATTGCATATCTAAAGATTGAAAAGACAAAATTGAACGAGTGTAGTCTCCTTCATTGTTTTGTGGATTATCCATAGACTTGTGGAATGTTGCGCGCGCCTGCAAATTAAAAAGAAAGAAATGCAGAAGGATAAATTGATGGGTCATTAAATTATTCGAATAAGAATTGCTTGTTTGAACTTCTATTTCTGGAATATTTTGCATTGAAGCAAAAAGAAAAAAGAAAAAAAGGGACCTCTGCATGGATGTCTCCATTTGCAGAATCGACTTGAAAGTTGAAAGCAATGAAAGTCACCTGAACCAGCGGAACCGATCTCCATTCGGAATCTGAATAGCGGCGAAAATTCATGAGTGCATAGCTGAATTCTACTGCAATTATGGAGAGATTTTTAAAATAAACCGGAAAAAAAAAACAATTTTTTTCTGACATTGTTATTTTAAGAAGCTTATATATACACCTAAAAATAAATAAATTTATCATTTTTAGTTTTAAAATGACTTTTTAAAAAAAAAAACATACTTAAAGAAACAAGCACATAGTATCAGTTTCAGTTGCGAGCGCAAAATTATTACAACATTACTGAAAATGACCCTTCATCAACAAAGCGATTTAATAATGTACAGGGGAAGGCAGAGAGAACAGGGAGTCTTTTTGAAGAGGAGAAAAAAAAATTTATGCTTTATACAAAAATGCTCCTTCTGAATTATTATAAGTTATTGTTGATTAATTTACGTCTTTTAAAAAAATTAGTTAAGATTTTTATTTTTTTAAAAGTTTTTATACCTTTTTAATTTATTCAAATACTTTCATTAATTATTCAATAAAAAAAGGGCATAATTTTTTTGGCCAAGAAAAAAAGGACATAATTAAATATATATATATATATATAACACCTATCCAATATCCTATATTTTAAATTAAGAAATTTTTTTTAAAAAAATGCTTATATTGTAGTTGGAAGAAAGTAATAAAATGAGAAAAGTATAAAAATTAAAAAAATTCATACAAATTTATTTATGGATCTCGGCTTAAAAGAATATGCTCCTCTACATGTGACCTCATGTTACTTGGAAAATATAGATAGGAGAATATATAAGAGAATCACACACAAGTACTAGTAGCTCATAACACATTAAAACACTCCCTCTAATTAATCTTTACTATAAAACGAAGTTTTGAAAACTTTTTTTTTAATTATAAACATAAGATGAAGTAAAAATAATTGATTTTTTTTTCAACGTTATCTTTAGTTTATTTATTATTATTTGAATTCTTAATATATAATTTATTACAGTCATTAGTTATAAAGAAGGACAAAATTGAAAGGTTATAATTTTTTTTAATTTTAAAGTTATAACGAACATTTTTTAAAAAACACCAAGCCGAAAGTTTGTTAACTTTACTTCGCATTAATGACCAAAGTACTATGATAAAATTTATTAACAATTTAACAAAGCAAAACTCTAAAACCTAAGCCTTTAAAGTAGTAGTCATCTTACTCCATCCATCATGATTTATAAGATAATTTTAGACAATATCACACATACAAATTGAATTGAGTTCATTAAACATATTTTATAATCTTATTTTTTAAAAATGTCCTTTATTTAATACTGTATTTATAAAAAAAATTAAAAAGACAAAATATAATTGGAAGATAATTTTGGAAGAATATCATTAATGAAATTAAACCTTATATATATTTTTTTCAAAGCATTTTATTTTTTTGAAAATAACAAATTTTTTTAAAATATCTTATAATTTGAGATGGATTAATATTCTATTAAGTTATCAAATAATACTAGATTACATTATATCAAGAAAATATTTTTTTTCAAAGAGACTTAATTGATAGGATGAAAGTGTAAATTTAATTATAAATTATTTTTAAAAAAATATTAAATAATTTATACTATCAATTGATACAAAAAAAATTATTAATCATAAAAAATAGAACATCTAACACTTTTTCTCATCTTTGGTCAAATGGCTTTTTATTGACCAATTCTTTGACTGTAAAAAAGAGCTGACATGCCACGTGTCATCCACCCAATCTCGTCTCCTCCCTTCCACTCCGTCTCCTCTTCTCCATTTATACTATCATTTTCTCTGTCTCCTCTTCTCACAGGACTGTATTGGCTCATATGCTATCTCACAAGGCAACTCATGTCTGGGTGACTGAGGATAAGAGCGACAATGCTTTAGTTGGTGATGGAAGAAGACATGATGCCATGAACTAAAAATTAATGGAGCATAACAGTGGCGAGCGCAACACACCCACTCAAGCAATGCAACGTCATCGCGAATTAGAGTTTGCCATTAGTGACTTCTGGTGATGACAGAACCTTCTGCGCAACCTGGTGATGACGAAAAAAAAAAAGTTTATGTCAATTTTGTCCCTGGAAGTTGCAGGATCAACAAATGCATCTAATTTTTTTTTTTTTGAGTTCTTGAAGATATTTACATATTTCCTATACGCCTCAATAATGTCATTCTCACATAGATGGTGATATTTAAACATGCAATTTTGTGAATTATGTATCAAATTTTTATTAACTAAACAAATTCTTGTTAGTCAAAGTATAAAAAATCTGACTAATTATTGAACCGATCAAGATATTAGTTTAATGATTAATAGTTAAAATTATAATCAAACAGTGATCAAATCAATCATAAGCAAAATATTTTATTAAATCAATCAAGACATAATTTAATAATTTATTGGTTCAACTATAAGGTATAAATCATGTTTTTGGATTTTCATGTCATTTGAGTAAATTTTCTTTAGATTTTTAATATATCTTGGCACAATTGTACATATTTTAAATATTCAAGTTAGAAAAATGTGCATATTGTTTTGAAAGTTCAAACCATGACTTTATTTTAGTATTTTGAAGCTAATTTATTGATATTTTAGTTTAAAGTTTGGTTAGATATATTTTTGGACTTTTGTTGATGCTTTTGGAAGGCTTTCGGATAAAAAAATCAAATACATAAAGGCTAAGTTTTTATAAACAGCGAAAACAGTGCAAAATTACCAAAGTCATCTCAAAGTAGTGACTTTCGACGCGACAGCAAAATAAAATGTTTTATTTAGCTGATAAAGTTTGGGTTTTAGAATGCATATATATATATATATATGACCCATTTTCGGCTTTGGCTGCCATTGTAGACTTTTTGGAAGTATTTGGGAGCTTTGGGTGTGCTAAAGCATGAATTTTGATAGAGATTGAGCTTAGGTTTAAAGATTGGAATAGATTTTGACTTCATATCTTGGTTCTTCTTCTCCATTCTCTTTCCTTTCCTTTTGTTCAATGCTTGTGCTAATATATTTATATTTTTTTCATGAGTTTTATGAACATTTGTAGCTAAACTCTTGATTTTAGGATTATTTTGAATTCTTTATATAGATTAAATACTTATTTCTCCTTTGTATTTGTGATTAATGATGTGATTATGTTGATTTTACTCCATACTTAATGTTTTTAGTCGATTGGCCATCAATTAAATTATTGGATTTACTTGATTAATGCTTGAAAGAGTTAGATTGAGTATAGAACTTGAGTTAAATTGTGCAAGAATTTAAAGTTTGTTAGTTGAATGGATGATTTTATTAATAAGGTAAAGATATACTCATTAATCTCACATAGTCACATAGGATTCACGACGAAAATTAGAGTTTAATTAGTTAATTATGAGATTAAGGGATTAATTAAACTAAACACCTACTTGAAGACTCGAGAGAACATTTATGGGTAATTTAGTATCTTTAATTTGCATAATTCATCATTAAGAGCAAAATATATTGGGAGTTGATTGAATACTCTAAAAATATAAAGGATGATAAATAATCTTAAATCTAATTACTTTCAAAAAGTCTTGAATCATTCTCCCTTTTTTATTTTTTAGTATTAATTTAATTTATAAAATTAATTTTATCTAATTATATTTGGCTTAATTTAATTGAATTCACTGAGTTTTTTATTTAGCCGTTTTTTTTAAATAATTTTACGTGAAAATAATACTTATATTTTATTACTTATCACGAACCGGGCACTTGCGGACCGCAATAAATGTTTTTGGACCTCGTGACTCTGTTCTCTTGTGGGTGTGCGCGCGCAAGCGAGCGAGCGAGCGAGAGAGAGAGAGAGAGAGAGATTGTGCTCTGTTTCACAGACTTGTGGGCGGAGCTTTGGTGTTATGAGAGAGAAGATGAAATCTAGGAAGAATGCGAAGCAGACAAAAGATGGGAGGTTGTTTCAGTTGTGAATCTTATAATTCTGAAAATAAATAGTTGACGGAAAGTGTTGGATACTCCATTTTTTTTTTTATAGTTCAGTTCATATCCTTCCTTCTTCGGGTGCAGGGGGTTCCGTTCTCTATGTGATTAAGACGCTGGATTTTGCTCCGGACACGCAATTATTTGCAAACCTGCCACCTCAAGGGTTGTCTTTATCAAAAATTCAAAATCAATCACTATAATTTTTTTCAGAAAAGGAATATTTCTGTTTGTAAATTAAAAAGTATAGTTTTCAGTAAATATTCAATAAATGCTCCTCGATCGGTCCTCCCCCCACCCACCACAATAAAAAAAAACAAAACAAATGTTGCCTCTGTAAAACTACTCTTGTATAGAATCACGCTCTAGAAGATATCTGGACTGAAATTCAATAGTAACGGTGCCTATACTTCGTATTATTATATCAGAGGCTAAGTCACAACAACAACATATTGGTAGAATCATATAGATTACTAATTACTCAATCGCATATGATCTCAGCATATTTATTGGCTTCTTGGCATATATGTTATACACACACGCACGCACGCACGCAGTCCTAAACATTTAGAGACCCAGTAAGTTCAGCGTACAAATGAATATTGAATAACCAATCTGCCAAAGTACTGACGTACCTTCTCTCTTGTCCCTATAATAACTTAATTAATTTCAAACATTGCAGCCTTCTTATTCTCCTCCTCATCCTCCTTCTTTGATGCAATTCTCCCATCTGTTCCGGCAAGCATAGCATACTTATCTTTCCTTGTCAGATTGGTGCACTCAAACCTTAACGTCCCCGCAAGAACTGTCTGAATGTAATTCGCAACTTCAAAACTCGACTTCCCTCCCTTACATGTGAGCTCAAGTGGAAGCTGGTTCAGAAAAGTGATCTCAAATGTTGGCACAGGGTTCATGAACACAAAGTAAGGGTCCAAAATCTTATGCCCTCGAACCGTGGTCCCATTAAACATGGTCTGCTTCGTGTTAATAGCCACAGGAACGATCCTATCGGTTAATTCAGCAAACAGAGCACTGAACCTTAACAGAAACGGTTCTCTACAGGTGGTACCTTCAGGAAAAATCACGAGGTCACCTTCCTGGAGCAGTCTCCTTATATTTTCTGCATCTTTCTCTCTTTCTCTTGACAGAGCAACGGTTTTGATCGGCGACATTAATTCACTGAACTTGCTTATGCTGTAGGTGACACAGCTGACTTTCCTCTTAAGAGCAACTGCGATAACTATAGGATCGACGACCGTACGGTGGTTGCAGACCAAAAGGACACCAGTTTTGGCGTTCTTTGGGGGAGGGGGAGGGGTGCCCTTAACGAGGATTCTGATTCCCATAAGCTTGGAGTTGTACCAGACGAGCTTTTCAGGTAAAGGGATGTTGAGGTATACCCTTAAGATGGAGAGTATGGTGCCAATGGGAAGCCATAGGAAGGTCACAAGCGCCATAACAGGCGTTGGCCTCTGAGCAAAACGACCGTCGTGGAAGATAATGGGACTTAAAAGTTTGTTTCTGGGTAGTGGCTTGCACTTTGTTCTTGGCACTCTATATCCTTCCTGCATATATATTCACAAGACCAATTTAAAATAGTCAATATATATATATATATATATATATATTTGTAAATTGTAATTGATCCACGTAGAGTATGTATATATGCACACATCTGGTTAATAATAACATCAAGGGATTTATGTTTATACGTCAATAATGGCAAACAATGTAAAAAACAGATATTATAATTTATACGGTATTTTTTGACAAAATTTCACCTATGATAAAATTCATTTAATACAGTTCACCATTTTAATTTTTTTAATACATTTTTAAAATTACCTTTCATTAATAGAAGAGTAAAAGAAATCTATTTAATAAGTAAAATAATGAGGAATAATAATTATTAATAAAATTTTATTTTTATCGAAACTCCTTATATTTCAGTACACCAAATCACTTTAAAAATGTTGTATAAATTAAGATGAAGGGAGAATTAATTACTAATTATTGCAAATCTATACCAAACCGCGTTAATATTAGGTTAATTTGACGTCAAGAAATTATGGCAAGTACTCTCATGCATTATTCTTAAGAAATTTTGTCGTTTTCTTTTATTTTCCAACTTCTGTTTTTCACTTTCAAATCATATTCTTCCGAACATGGAGGGGCCATTTGAATATGGCTACAGTAACTAACCGAGAAGAACCGACACGTGGTAAAGATGATTAAGGAATATTGCGAAATAATATCATATCTAGATAAGGACCAAGTTCTCCGACACGTAATTTAGGTGGAAAGTTAAAAAAAAACAAAAAAGAATTGAAAGAGGCACTTGGACAATGCCACGAGTCATATATCCACAAGCCTCGCATGCATGATAGATAGGTTTCGCTCTTCTCTGTTGATGGATTAATCTTTTAGGATTGACCCCGGTGGAGTAAAACTGTGGACAACGTCCTTAAGCAGAGGCCTGAACTCCAATTTTATTTACAAGTCATTTCTAAAATTTGTATTGAGATATAACCAGATTGAGGCTTAAAATTCATAAACTCGATCAATTTCTAAAAGTCACCAAAGTTTCTAATCATACCCTTATTAAACCCATCTTTTGATAATAGTAAGAGCCAATTACGAAAAATATAACATTATGTAAGGGAAATATGGGAAAAAAATTAAATGAATATCATACATTAAGTAGGGGAGTACATAATTATTACAAGAAAATTAAGTTTACAGGTTCAGGTGACCTGACATGGTAAACATTCAAAAGGCATGGTTTATAGAAGGTTACGTGGAGATTACAAACCTTGCAAATTGACATGAAGTGATAATCAGATTCACTGTCTCCAAGTCCCAGATCTGGCAAATCAGATCCAAATTCCTCGACAATAGCTGCTTTCTTGTGGTCACCTACCAGCACCCCTGGTTCCCTAACAAGACCTGTCAATGTCCTCCCAGATTTCGTGGCTCTCAGCTCTGTACCTACGACCTTGTCTGCCTCTAAAACCGTCTTCGCAAACGGCTCCACCATCAACCTTGGACTCGCCGTCACGATGCACCTCTTCCCGAACGAATTGAACACCCGCCACGTGTCCGGGTGGACGTCCTCGGCGTAGAACTTGGGCAACACTGACCTCGACACTATCTCCACATCTCTGGCGTGGAGTCCGGCGAAGGTGATGAAGATGAGAGTTTTGATCGCCAAGGCTTCGGAGACGAACATGTACGTGAAATACACGAAGGGAACGGAAGCGAGGAGAATGAGTCCCCGGAGAAAGCTTCCGGCTTCGAGAGCGACGAGCATGTAGTAAGGAAAAGCGCTTCGCGACACGAGAAGAGTGCCGTCTAAGTCGGAAACGACGGTTTGATTCTGTCGTTCATTGGTGGTGCATTTTGAGATGGGTTGGAAACGACGAAAAGCTTCCATGGCTACCATGGCGCAGAGAGAGAGAGAGAGAGAGAGAGAAGGCGAAGCCGAAATGAGTAGAGACTTTAATGACAGAGAAACAGAGAGAGGAGAAGGGAGGGGAGATTTAAAGGGATAGGGAAGACGTGGTGGTAACGGTGTTCAATGAATTGTTTACTGTTTAGCCTCAAATATGTAAAAAAGATATACTCTTTTATTTTAAATTATAAAATATTTTTTAAATAAAATTTTATATGTCAATAAATCTTATTAAATATATTTAATAATTTTTTTTAAAATAAAACTATAAACTTTTAAAAATACTCTTCATTTAATAGTCTTAAATCTATGTGTAATTAGTATTAAATAGAGAGACAAATAATAATATTAAAATAAATCTATCAATAAAACTTTAATCTTTTTAAAGTATCTTCTATTTTGAAACGGTGAAACTTCTCAAAAAATATTTTATAATTTAGGACATATGGAGTAATTAAATCATGGTAACATATATTATGTGGTCTGGAAAGATAACCTCACAACATGCGTTTAAAAACTTACATTGGAATTGATAGAGAATACAGATTATATATTGTGTTAATTATGGATTTCCGGTTTGCATAAATTCAGATTAAACGAATAGCGTTCAGCCATGTATACATGATATAACATGTTTTTATTGGATAAAGAATAAATAATGTGATGTACCGGGTCATTCATGCAGAATATTTTCACACATTAGTTGATTAGGGGTAGTTGGTTTGCTTTTCTTTTTGTTTGTTCAGTCTCCGGTAATGTTTTCACATTTTGATGAATGAGTATTTCATATTCATATTCAAAAAAAAAATTCACACAATGAAAAATATGTCTAATGTATATATGCTCTCTCCATTAAAAAAAATAAGGTATTTTTAACCGAACCTCATCTCTTAATAAAGTAATTGCTTGTTTCAAACTAACCTTATCTTTTTATATTTAGTCCTGTTTAATAGGTGAAGTGATTAATTTAATAGGGATACTTTAAAAAAAAAAGATAATGAATACACCTTAAAAGATTAAAAATATTTTATATTTTTGGACATTCAATCTCTCAAAAAATAAATTATATTTTAAAAAAATTAATCATTTAGTCCTTCTAGTTTTTACCTAGTTGTAACTTAATCCCTGAACTTTGACTCGTTATAACTTAGTCCCTAAAATTTTGACTCAATTGTAAATCAATTTCTAAAATTTGCCTCTTGCAATTTAGTCTCTAAAGTTTCAACCTCTTAAATATTGGTCCCTATATTTTAAAAATAAAATTATAAAAATTAAAAATATTTTGAACTTTTAATATTTATAAATATTAAAAGGGTTTAATAATTTAAGATATTAGTAATAAATTTTAAAATATTTTTCATTTTTATAATTTTATTTTTTAAAATATAGAGACTAATATTTAAGAGGTTAAAATTTTAGGGACTAAATTATAAAAAATAAAGTTCAAGAATTAATTTATAATTGAGTTAAAATATCAAGAACTGAGTTATAACAAGTGAAAATTTAAAAATTGAGTTATAATTAAATTAAAATTATAGAAATTAAATAATTAATTTTTCTTATACTTTATACGCTCTTCAGGGAGTGAAAAGTTAAAGCCGTCCGAGAAAGAAAATATTTTATTATTCATGGAGAAGGGGGGTCAACTTTAAAAACGAAGTTATGGACTAATTATTTCCAATTTCCAAACATTCAAAAATCTCTTCGATAAATTAAGGTTGACCACTAAGTGAGGTTAGTGTTCTCTTCTATTTTGATACTTGTCTCTCTCTCTCTCTCTGTTTTTTTTTTCCGTATCTAAATAATTGTCTTTTAACATAGTATACTAAGATTAAGGATGTGATGTTTTCCCCCATCGATGTTATGTTACTATATAAACAGAAAAGATTTAATTACATTTAACTAAAATATTCTTACATCAGTTCATTTATTGTATCCTATATGTTTGCCTATAATATCGAGATTTAATAAGGCAATTTTTGGTCGATTAAAATCTTCAATCAAATATTTTTAAAAAAATGAAAGCAATTCCCTAAATAAAACGGCACTATTTTGAAAATAGAAAGAATAAGTACTTACATAAAATATTGCACACTTTTCAAGTATAAATGAAGAATTGAATTAAATTGAAACAGTTGAGGGAATAGAGGCATTTATTAGACATCTGGGTTAGACAACAAGTAATTAATGCAAGTGAGAGTAAACAATTAAAAGAATATCAAATATGTGTGACAAAGAGGAATACAGACAATATTTGGCGTTGGTAAGGTTAAATGGTAGGAACTGTTTCTTATGGCAAAAAAGAAACTTAAAACAGAGTTAAAATTATGTACAGCTATTGACTAGCACAAGCTAAAAGTTATCATTAGACAATAAGTATGTTTAGTTATATTAACGTATTACTTTTTCTAAAACACAATATAAAATATTTTTTAAAAACCTTGCCTTGTCCAAAATATAAGATATTTGATAATTTTTATATTTATTTTTTTAACTATATCCCTACTTTATTTATTACTCATTTTAAAAAAAAATCTTGCATTAGAATTAAAATTACTATAATCAAGGCTCTTATATAGGATATTTAATAATGGTATAAATAAAAAGATATAGACATTTTTAAAAATTTAAGATTTCAATTAATATTATTTGTAAACTGTGAATTAATTAATTATGACTTATATTGTGGTTTGAAAAAAGTAAAAATTATTCCCTTTGTCCTTTTTGTAAGTCATTTGTAATTAACCCACCAAAAGGTGAGTTAAAGAGAATAATAAAATTATATTAAAAATATATTACTTTCAAATTTTGATCCTAATTTTAAAAAAGAGTGATTTGATATGCAAGAAGAGATCTCTTAAAAATTAAAATATTTCTTTTTTTTGGGAATTTGTTGGAGGAATATTTTTTTCAAAATTGTGTCTCAAAAATTATATACAAAAAAACAAAGGGAAAGTAACTAACATAAAGCATCAAGAAAACCTCTTAAATTGTGGCTAACAGATAGAATCGGATGGAGTATATCTTACCAATTGAAGTTCACATGAGTGATAATAATTATCGTCCATCAAGCAAGTGATTGGGGTAACGTATTCGGTTCCTAGACCTTGCACGTATACTGGAGCAAACATAGTTAAGAGGGATGTGTCATTCGTCTTTCATATATACTTGAGGTTGAGGAAGAGATATATTTGTCTCCGCTAGTTGGCCAATGATATATTCCTGATCTTACCCAAAAAAATTAAATAAATCATATATATCTATCTAATATGTTAATTATTTTATGGGGAAAATTAAATATCAAGAGAAGTGATTCTTGAGGGCAAGAAAAGGAAAGGAAGAAAGAAGAGGAAAGAAATTATGGAACAAGAGGGCAGTTGTATGGAGGCGTCCGAGTAGTTGGAGGTCATATTTCATACTTACCCTTCATTCAATTTCCCTTATTTGTCATTTATCATCATTAAGTGCCCAACACACCAACGCATATATATTCTTTACATTAAAAAAAAAAAAAACCAAGTTTTCATTCTTGTTACTAGCTATATACTTTTATTACTATTACTACTGCTACATCATATTTAAATTTATTTGGATTGAGAAGATTTGGATTTGGACCAAATCATTCATTTACATAAAATTTAAATTTAAACACATTTTTTATTATAATTCTTTTATAATTTTAAATTCTCTTTACATTTTAATAATTTAAAATTACATTCACCTCAACTTTTTCAATTTAAATTCTTCTCTATAATCGCTTTTTTTATATATCTCCTTTCATCTCTCATTTGTCTTTTATCAATTGAGAAATATAAGTAGGCATATCTATCATTTTTTATTTTTTATTTTTTATTTTTACTTTGAATCTCAACTTTGTTTCTTTTAATTAAACTAACCCAAAATTTTTTTAAAAATACATGTAAAATTTTAAATCTAAAATCCAAATTTAAACTCACCAATTCAGACGTCTTCTGAATTTCTTTCAACTAAGGTTTTTATCCTTCAAGATCTCTATATTGAAACTATCCATTTGAGTATTTGGCTTGCACCTCATTTCATAACATCGTATTACAAGCATACAATTTTTATATATCTGGTGAATATTGTGACTTACGGTAGATTATATTACACATTGAAATTAATATCGATATTAGCTGGATGGCATAGGATTAAGGATTCATCTAGCATAAATTTGTATATTTAATTGTGGCGATGTCTTTTTGTTATTTGAATTGAATATGCATTACAAAAAAAAATTTTTTTGATAACAATTTTTAGTTGCGACAACTCAAAGTTACTGTCAAAAATTCACTTTTGGTTTTGGTGGCTAACTTGATATATCGCCACCAAAAATTTACTTTTGACATCGACATTTATTGCTGCAAAAAATATTTTTATAAAAAATAATTTAAAAATTAAAAGTATTTTATATAATAAAAGTACTTTTAAAAAATTAAACATAATTATAAATTACATGAAATAATTCACAAAATTATAATTTAAATTTTTTTAAAAATTTTATGAATTGTTTTAAAAATTTGACATTAAATAAAATCATTAAAAATATATTTATGAAGTTAAATTTCTTATTTTATATACAGAATTAGAAATAGGATCTTGAAACAAAAAAATAATAGTCAAGATGTGCTAAGTTTAATTATTAAATTATTTCTAATTTTTTATTATTCATAGTTTTTTTAGACATATATAGCTCATATTTTTTTAAAAATTATGTTATTAAGCTAGTATTTTAATGTGATAAATTAAAATTTTGATGGGCTCTTACTTTCAATTATAATTAAGTTAAGTTATATATAAATTATTACTTACATACAAATACATAAATGGTATTGGGACGTTAAAGTTGTACAAATATTACAAGATGCAAATAATATTATAGACTACTTGACATATTGCGCACTTGATGCTTACCTTGATATATATATGGTGTCTACTTTTTTTACTGAGCTCTAATGGCTTTTGAACAATGATTTTATATAATTTCTTCTAGTATATTTGGGTTTTCATTGTTATAAAAAAGAAGTTCCTGATAACATTTTTACAACTAATTATTATTAAAAATAACATAAA